TGTCTCGCTGCAGCTGCGAGGCCGGCCGGACCGACAAGGCCAGCCATCCTGCCTGCGCCGCGGGGGGGCCTGGCTCGCTCCCCAGGCTCCTTTCGGAAGGGTCGAGAGAAGCCCCGGTGCCGTGCGAGTAGGCAGCGTGGAAAAGCTGCTGGGCTGACGGGGAGAGCCTTAAAGCAGAAAGTGAGCAAACCAAGCCGCCGCGGCCTGGGCGAGGCGTTGGGGGGTGGAGGGAAGCGAAGGAGGAGCGAGGTAGAGGAAGGCAGAAGTGGGAAAAAGGGGGAACCCTAAGGCAAAAACGTGGTGACAGACAATAAAATAGTGATAAAACACACAGCTCGGTGTGTGTTCGGTATATTGTTATCGGTATATACTCAGTTCGGTATATTGTTATTTTATTTATTCTATTTCATGTTATTTTCCTAGTGTGTATCTCCAAACCACGTCAATGAGACATGATTATACGTGGGATTTGAAAATGAGCGTCAAGTAAAGTAGTTAAAACACTTCTTTACTAAATAATGAATTTGGGAATCGTGCTGAATGTACAAATAAGTAGGATAAATGAAAGGCACTTGGCACATCAGCAACTGTGAAAATTCAGTGGTCTTCTCCCTTCCCTCCCCTCTTTCTTGGGCCAGAAGGTCATCTTTGACAGAATTTGCCAGAGTACTGTGTCAGCCCCCCTTGCTCAGGGGAATCACTTTTTAAATGGCGACAGTAAACAATGAATGTTCTGCATTACTATCTTTAGCATTTCTAATACAAATATTTTGAACAGCACAGTTGTTTGACAGTAAAGGCGTTTAGAGGTGTTATCTTTGCTACTTTTGTTGTGATCTCTCGTAGGCTATCCCTTGAAATAGGCAGCAGGAGTACGTGAAGGCCTACTGAACACCATAAAAACCAGTGACCTTATAATAAAAGATAATTTGTAGAAGAAGGGCATTAACATAGGTGTATGGCCCCGTTATATTTGTTCATTTTAACTTTCATAACCAATACATATTTTACATCAGAGTATATATCGCTTTATGTTTTAACAGAGTTCCAAAATGAATGGAAAAAATAAACTGATTTTCCTGAAGTGAAGGATTGTAAACATGTGAACTTTATAATTTTGGAGAGATTTTCCTTGCATGTAGCATCTTTGGAAAAGAAAGAAGGGAGGAGGAAAGAATATTCACAAGAAGGAATGATTTTGCAGTAGAAGTGAACGAATGCTGATTTCAGTAGTCTAGAATTTTTCCTGTTAAACCATATTTTAAAACATGAGAAGTCTCAAAATAATTTTAAAAATTGCAGGAACTCGGAGGTGGAAAGAAGGCTGTAATTTGCTAGAGCCCCACAGAAAGAGATGGGCTGTTCCTGTAGTTCGCTGAAGAATCTATCTTCCAGAAAGGCAGAGGAGCGTTGCACAGCGAAAGGTAAGATCAAAGCGATGTTTCTTGTCCTCATGACTAGTAGGTATTTACAGGTGAAACTTCACCAGTGCTCCCAGTAGTGTGGAACCATACTGGACAGGGTTGGGTGATTCTTTTCTAATTATAAGCCGTTCAAGTAGTTCTTGTGATAGCTGCTTTTGCTGTATCCTTCAAATGTACCTTGTAGTGAATGTTTTGTATTGTAAATTATTTTATAGCTGATAAGAGTTTAACTGCTGAGACTTTGTTTTCCTGATTGCCATTTTCAGGATTTCCTATCATTTTCATTATCCTTTTTTTTTTCCTACATAGTTTTAATATGTTCAAAATATTCTAGATGGAGTCATTCTAATCCTTTATACAAGGCCATAAGGGCAAGAGAGAATAATAGATAACATAAATTTAAGGTCACTGTAATTTTTAAAGGGTTATTATTTTAAATGCCCTTTAGCTTTAAGCTATTTCAGTCTTATTACACGCGCATGGTTGGTTGAAGAACCTGTTGAATCTGTTCGGAGTTGCAAATGTTTCATGAGCTTTCCTGCTTTTTCTGGTACTTGCTTTTTGTATTCTTCCACTGCATAATTACTGCGTATGTGAGGGTTGCTTACTTGGGGAAGAGTACAGGCCAAAATTTTTTCTCTAAGTGTCAAATTTGTTTTCCTCCTGTGTAACCTATACCAGGATTTGTATCATGTGTTCAATCACATAGGTAAAATATAATTTTCCTGACTTAAGAGAAATTCTTCAAGCTGCTTAAACTTTCAAGTCTAACAGTTCTAAATAAAAGGTAAATGACAAGAGACTTGTGTGCTACAAAAAGTGAACAAATATTAGGTTGAAATCTTCATGTCAGAAAACTAGCATGTTCAGTTTGTAGAAACCTTGTCCAATACATGATGATTCACTGGAAAACTGAAAAGCAATTTGCAGCATCACCTAAAAAAGACCTCAGATAGTCAAATTTTGACTATGTCTTCAATTTTGCTAGTGATGAATAGCAAACTGACTTTAGTAGATTTCCTCAGGATGTAAGATCATGATCTCAAGTATACAGTGGTGAATGTGAAAAAGAATTTTTTTCAGATCCTAGCAAACGATTGGCTTATGATCTTAGATCCGTGTAATTGTTTTGGCCACCGTGGCTTTGACATGCCAACACCAATTTCAAATTATCTACTCTTGGCACAGTATCAGACACAGTAATCTCGACGACAGGAAATTCTACAAGTTTGCTGTACGCTTCTGTAAAGTACACTTCATTTCACTGTCTCTAAACGTGCTTTCCTTAGAGTATCCCTTATTTTAATTTTATGATGGAATAAAAATTGCTCGGTTTCCATTAGAGAATGTGTTACCGCTTTCTGTGCAGCTAAAACAATGCCTAGTACATCATTTATAAGGATGCGGGTCTGATCTCATCTAGATAGGCAAGCATTGCTGTGTTTCTTGTCGAATCTACTAAGTAGCTGATTTTACATGATTCGGTACACAGCAATGTCCTGAGATATCTCAGGTCAAAATCAGGTCAAGATACATAGTGATCAGTTACAGTATAATGTTAATTTTGGAAGTAGGTAAAGATATGCTGAGTGAAGTATATTCCAGGATGCTGGAGGTCAAAACTGAATTTTCAGCTGTTAATAAACCATGCAATAGAAATAAATTTACTAAAAGACAAGTTCTATTGTCTGCTATTTAATAATCGGCATTCACTGGAAGCGATGACGTGTTGGCGTATGAACATTCACAGCTATTTGCAGCCTCTTAGAACCCCAAAGGCCTGTGAAGTGTGAGGCTGTGATGCACTATTTGTTTGGCAGTGATACCATCTTGAGGAGTTCTGTTAACCTGCTCCATTTCCCCTCCTTTCTTTGTTTTACTAACCTCCCAGGGTTATTTTTAACATTGATCATCCCACTGATCCTATTCACAACATAATCCCTAAACGCTAGTGAAAATATTTACATGTGTGGAGCAAATATGAGGGTAGGAATCTCTAAATGTGGCTTTACAGAGCGGAGTGCAAGCATTAGCTTTTTGCATTTGTTTGCAGTCAAATATACTGCTTTATGTAGTAGTAACACTAAGACTTGCAAAAGTCTTCCTGTTAATTTACCAGTATTTTTCTTTGATTTAATACCTATAACTACTTGTCTATATCACAGTTACTGTATAGAAAAAATTTCACTGGAAAACTTTCTCCTTTGTAACAAAAATTTATGCGGGTAATGTCATGTGAAAATGAAGTGCACTGTAGCTATTTAATAAAGCTTTACTTCCCTGGTTTAGAATTAGCTCCATAAATCAAATCCAAAGGCATTATCAAAAAGAGGTCTTCTGTCCAGAGTCCATACATTTGTTGGTGAAAGAATGCAAGGAAGCTTTCTGGCATATTGCCAGAAATTAAAAACAAAGGTAACTTGCTTTGATTGTACTAGATGCTCCTCTTCCATTTACTTTTCTCTACTATTCAAGCAGTTG